ATAAACCCCTGAACTTAAATAACTATAGTGTGACCTCTGTAAAATATTATTTATGGCTTTAAAACTACTATTATGTAGATATCAAGATGTGCCAAATGTTATAAACCAAACACCAGCCGGCAAATGGGACAACTACTATTCCATTTATTTTTTTCCTTCCTTTCTGGATATTTCTCTACAAATGCTATTTTTGTTTAAATGGATTCTGGGGTAATTACCCGGCAGGGGAAAGCAATGTTCATTTACATTTTATTATAGAACACTACAGTATGTAAAAAATTCTCTTCTATAAACTTAGAAGCACCACAAAAATGTAAACATTCCATTAACATATTGCAGTTTAATAGGAAAGGCATTGATTACCTTTGAGCATAAAGTAACCATCCCCACTATCAATGGACTAATGTAACACATCTGCTATTCATTTCTGCAAATTAGTTTATGGAGGAAAACCTGATTGTACATTTAAGTTATCCAGATGGGAACTTTAAGCTGAGCATTTCCATGCTAAAAATATATGTACATTCCCAGCACTCGTTACTTTAAAAATTTGAGATGTTTAGAGTGCCATCTCTTCATCTGTTTCCTGAATTATTTCCTATGCATTCAACTATATTGTAGGAAATAAAATGTTCAGTGGCAGTAAAGTACTGGAATCATTGGTTTTCTAATTGTCATTCAACAAATGTTTGAGGACCTACCATGTGCTGGTCATGGTACTTAGCATTGGCAAGAATAATGATGAATGAGAAGAAAAAATTCTCAGCTTTCATAGAACAGTCTGAATAGGGAGATAGATCAACAAATAATCCATTTCTAGGCAGCACAGTAAATGCTCTGAGAGAGGAATGGAACTGGCACCAAGGAAGGACAGGAAATAGAGGAGGGAAGGGGGCTTTGCAGACGGCTTCACAGAGGACGGAAACACAGCCGAGTCTGGGTGAAGAATGAGTGAGGTGATCAGGTGGATGGCAAGACCAGCATGAACAAAGACATGAGGGGACATTGGGTTCAATCCTCTTCAAATCATTCATATGGTTGGAATTTGGTGGGGCATTGGAGGAAAGTAGATGAAGACTTAGACTGAGACCAACCATGAAGGCTTGTATGTCTTGCTAAGAATTTAGACTTCCTCCTGCAGGCTGTGCATAGAAAGAGTAATTTTGAGTTGAGGGGTAACTGGATAAGATATGTGTTTTGGGTAGCTCATTGTGGATGTGACATGGAGCATAAACTGGATCCCAGTTAGGAGGCTCCTCCAACTTCCAGATTAGAAATAACAAAGCCCTGGGCCACAGCAGTGATAGAGAATTGACTGAGAGAGCATTTGGGATGTAGAAGCCACAAGATCTGTTAACCAGTCAGATTATGGGAGGAAACAGAGAGGTAGAAGTCAAGGAGACAGCTCAGGTTTTTGGCTGGGCTCATTGAAGGGTCAGAGGAGTCATTTTCATCATCTGAGTCTATACTTGAAAGGACAGGTTTGGAGAAGGATTTGGGATGAGGTTAGTACTGAACACACAGAAGTTATGGTACCTGTAGGACATCTAGATATGTCTAAGAGGTGTTTGGAAATGTGAGTTTGGAGAGGTTAGGGTTGGAGACAGAGATTGTGCCACTTATATATGTGATGTTTGATGATGTTTTTAAAGATTCATGAAAGTGAATGTGTGAGCTAATTTGCTCTTCTAAGTAAAACTTGAGAAATACTGTAACTCAGTGATTTGCGAATTACGTTGAAATAACAGATAAGTCTTAATCCTCCAAGACCCGTAGGAAAAAATAAAAAGGGAAAGAGTAGAAAGTATTTCACATTCTATCACTTAGTATGAATAGGAAGTGTTGCATCTCCCATTTTGGATTCTCTAACAAAAATGGGAAGGAAATGTCTTTTACTTACTAAAAAATCATAACAAAAATTAATCAAGTCTTTTTTTTGGAAAATACTCAAGTGGTCCATTTCAATGACTATCACTGCCTCATCCAGAATTTATGCTTTTGTTTTTTCTTGAAGAACACTACTTACTTTTATAGAGTTCTGAACAAAACTGAGCAAAATAGAAAGGAATATATTTCTACCTCATTGGTCTTGATGACTTTCTAAAAATCTCATGCATTTTGATGGATAAGATTAATGAGACCACATAGTGTTAAGCACCTTGGACTTTCAGAACAAAGGGCTTTTAGAAGAACAAAGTATCATTATTAATGACACATCATTTATAGTTTTCATCGGTAATGTAAGGTTTCAGCAACTTTAATAGGACTTAGTTAGGAGCTCAATGTAGAGGGCAAGGCTATTAGCTAAGGTTCTTGACACTAATACCTTTTGCTTCTAAGGAAAAAGATAAATCACACTCACATTGATCACAAGACAAGCTAAGGGGTTCAGAAAGAGGTGAGTCACCATCCACTTACTGAATTTCTCAAAGGCTCTGTCATCAATGAGCCCTGCTGGTGAGCCCTGCCCTCTGCATGGACTTCCTTCCCTGGCTGCCAATTCCTTGCCTTCTGTGGACCCTGCTGGCCTAGAAAAAACCCTCATGCTTCGTACCTCCTTTCCCTTTTATTCTCCCTCTTCCATCTGTCTACAACCCCCTAGTCTGTGTTGGGTTTCATCACTGCAGGATTTCTCTCTGTTTTATAGGAACTTGAACAGCCAAGTACATTAAATAAAGGAATGCCTGTGTGCTCCAGTGACTTAATTGACATGAGTACCAATAACAATGGCAATCCTAACGCAAGGTGGCAAAACAGTGAGGAAGTATTTTTTTTCCGAATACACATTGTTAGTCTTATCAGGAAATTATAGAGGATGCCTATGTACATAGCACCAACACTGTTAGAAAATTTTGCAAATTCTTTACAAAGTGTTGCTCTTGTGTAAGATTTCTTTGGGAACTTAATTTGTTTCAGTCAGATTCACTAAGTCCTTCTTAGTGACTCTTTAAAAATTGCTGTATTTTTGTTGGAGAATTAAGAGAAATTCTGCTAGGGAAAAAAAACAAAGTTAAAAATATCTTTAAACTTCACCATCTAAAATCAGCCAGCTCTGTTTTAAGTAGAGAGAAAAAATCTGGGACACAAAGACATGCCCAGTAAAAATAAAGGAAGAGGGAATTTACTTTTATTATAGAAACAGATGACTTACATCTAAGGGCATATAAGGAACTGGCTGATAACTTTGCAGCTCTACCAACAAGTCTCTTTGAGAGAAGTTAACTCAAGATAGATGAGCTCTCCAATTACAGGAAGAGGGCAAACAACAAAGTGAGGCAGAAAGTATTGTGATTGTATGTTACAAGTGATATTTGCTCTAAAGGAAATTCCAAACTATTATTCTGTCTCTGATTTTTAGCAATTACATAGTCAGCAAATTGTTTAGTGGATTTGATTTGATTGTGGAGATACCTGGAAAATCTTTCTTGTTATATTATTCTGTTTTGGGAGCTCTCACCGACCACTTTCTCTTTTGTTTGTGCTTTTGTTTTACAAGGTAGGTCAAAAGCTCATTTCTGGTCAAATTGTTGAAGTTCACTGTTTTCTGTCTCCTTCCTAGAAGATACACCACTAGGTAGGAAACTAGACAACATGGGAATTCAAGTCCAACTGGAAGCCTGAGACACCAGAAAAAATGCACAGAGATCATTGCAGGAAAATGTTTCACATTTTCATTTTTAAAGTTTCTATGCTTTATAGCCCAAAATACCCAACAAATAATTGCAATTTACAATTCAAAGAAACTGCAGAGGTAATACTGCTATGACCATATTCTTTAATAACTTTTAATATTAAAACTTTTTAAAAATTGACCATTTATTAAATTCACCATTTATGAAATTCAATAGTTGAGGACCATCTAGCTCATATACATGTTGATGTTGATATAAGTCTGAATTCTGTTTTAGAAATTCAACAATGAATTAAGTTGATTTTAACTGAGTTTTATTCTGAAAAATAATTTTCTTGTTGCAATATAAATCTGCTATTAACAAATGAGCAAAGTGGTTGGTACTGTTTGTGCCTTTAAGATCATAGTTCAAAAGAATTAAGCAAACCTGATAACAAAGATAAGATAAACATAACCTTTATTCTCTTTCAAGAACCCAGAGTAAAGAGCCTGGAACCATATCCATTAACTTAATCAGAATCAGAATACCTTAAATTTCATGGTCTCATTTAAAATGTTACAGCAATAGACTGAGTATTCTAAAAACGATAGCAAAATACATGTTGCTCTCAAATACATGGTTAAAAAATATAATAACTCTCTTAGCCAATATAGAGGAGGGCTGGGCTAGTGAGATACTCAAACATTCACAACAAATAAAAATTACTCAATGTACATATAATGATCAGGTTTTCACAGCCTAAAATCAAAATACAAAATCTGACAATAAAATTGTGTCACATTCAGGAATGAGGAAAGTATTTTTTGGTATACATAAATGGTGGGACAGAATCTTCTAAATCATAATTGTCTCAGAAGACCCAAGACAGACATCAACACACACATACTGCCCACTGGTCAGTAATCTCAGAACTAGAATAGAGTAAAATAAAATCAATACAATTCAAAATTTCTTTGTCTAATAAAAATTCAAAATCTCTTTGTCTAATAAAAAAATACTTCAAGATCTTGCACTGCCTTAAAGGAATGAGCATAAACAGTAGCAACTGGAAAGTAGCTGTAACAGACAGCAGACACTGCAGAATTCTGTCTGACAAATGCCAAATAACTATTTGTGTTTAGCAAATAAACCAGTAAGATGATATCATGATGAGTTTTTTTGTTGAAGTTTTTATTTTGCCATAAAAGCAAGGTTTTTTAAATAAAAATGTTCTATCTCTTCTTAGGATAACTTTATACATATTGATTGATGTTAATCAATAAAATCAACTGAATGATTTTAGTCAAGTGTTTTAACATTATCTCAAAGGTTCAAATAATCTTAAGATTCTAATTTACAGATGAGACTATATGCCATCCTATTTCAGCCACCAAAAAAAAAAAAAAAAAACTGTATGCCTTAGCATTCATTTAAACATGATTACTAGAAACTTATATGTTTCATTTGAGAATATAAATTTAAGGTTTTTTTTTTCAGATCCAAGGGAAAGGTATGAATAAAGCCCTCTTTCTCTGAACATAATAATAATAATAATAGATGACAAAGAGGATTCGGCCAGAAGTCAGGAGACATAGATGTGACTTTAGGGAAATTACTTTCCTTGTGAGATCCCTTCCAGCTATCTGATTCTAAAATTGAAACATCCCCTCTGAACTGTACAGACTGGCCCTGCATTTTCAAGTTTCTACACAGTACCTGGTGAAGTTTGAATGTCTGTTTTTACACTAAAATATTACACAAATCAACACAAACCCCGTCCTGCAAACCAATATGCCAACTTGTTTTCTAGAGAGAGCAGTTTTTCTCCCATTCATTCCATAAATCATTCACAACTTCCTACGTTCAAGGCAAAGTGTTAAATCAAACCTACAACATGATTGTCATTGCTCCTGGGAGCAAATTACAATCTGAAAAATTCAATTTAGATGACTGCTTTAGGCAGTCACCAACCTAGCTCAGGGTAATGATTCTCAAATTTGAGGGAATACAGGAATCACCAGAGGAGCTTGTTAAAACACAGCTTCAAGGGTCTCACCTCAGCCCTATGGTATCAGAATCTCTGGGCTTGGCACCTCCTAATCTACTTACCCATTTAACAAGTATATTCTCCCCACCAGCACCCCTCCATGCCTCTGCAGGTAATCTGTGGGCCTCACTCTCTATCCCAACCTCCCCCTCTCCCCACAAAAAAGAAAAGCCCTAGACTCAGAGTCAGGAGCCAACTGCCAGCTAGCTGCATAATCTTGAATGAGTTGTTTAACACTGCTAGGTCTCTCAATCTCTTCATCTGATATGGGTTGAAGAGGAGTCTCTACCATCCCTTCCACGCTCAGGTGCTACAGACTTTAAGAATCTAACATGTCAACTCGGTGTTGTGAAGGAGGTGAGGAGAATTCGCAATGATGTTTCACTCTGCAGTGCAAACACCCTAGCAAGAGAGTCCAGCAGCCCCCAAGAGAAAGAGGGTAATTCCTTTCTCTGGCCCCCTCATCCGCCATGGGAGGAAAAGTGTGGCAAGGTTGGAATTGGGTGAGGGGTGGAGGAGACGCCAAAAGAAGCCGGCAAGAGTTTTGGCAAGAAGCAGGAAGGGTCCTTGGAGTGCTGGAATCAGTCGTCGTCGTCGTCGTCGTCGTCCTGGTCCTGGTAGCGAATGTAGACTACCAGCATGACAAAGCCCGTGAGGATGCAGAGGGAGCCGACGACCAGGTAGGCGATACCCAGGAAGGGGTTCTTTCCGCCCATCCACGAGATGCTGCTGAAGATGATGAGCTTGTGGCCGCCGAACTCGCGCACCGGGAAGTTGTAGGTGATGTTGACGCGGTAGGCGCCCCGCGGCAGCCCGGCCGAGTAGTTGCCCTGGCGGATGCGCGCGTACAGCTTGCGGAAGGTGGGCAGCGCGGCCGTGCGCATCCACACCACGAAGTCCTGGTTGATGAAGCCGGTGTTGTTGGGGTCGGGGCTGAGCTCGTAGACCGGCCGATGCCAGTTGGGCGGGGGCGCCGTGCCGCTGAAGGCCAGCGCCAGGCTGCCGTTCACCAGCGGCGGGTTGCGGAACTTGACGTGGTTGTCGGTCCACCAGGCGATGCCGGTGCGGTCGAGAGGCACCTCGACGTAGGGCCCGCCGGTCTGGTACTGGTGCCACACGGAGAAGGAGTCGTTGAAGAGGCTGTTGGCGATGGAGCCGCAGGGCGCGATGGGCAGGCCGCTCGTGCTGAACTGGTAGGGGGCGCAGTCGTTGGTCGGGTGGTGCAGCGCGCCGGCCAGCCCGCTCAGCTGCGCGTCGTCGCGGGACACGCTGTAGCGCCGGTTGTTCTGGTAGAAGTTGGTCAGCTCGTAGTAGAGGTACACGGGGCCCTGGAAGAACTCGGGCAGCGAGAAGTACCAGGCGCACGAGCAGTTGGGCGGCGGCGCGCGGCCCTCGCCGGCCTCGGCGCACACCGAGCAGTTGCCGGTGTCCGCGTCGCCGGTGTAGTCGTACTCGAGCTCCTTGATGCTGTTGGAGGAGTAGTAGAGGCCCAGGCCCAGGCCGATGAAGGCCAGGCCCGCGCAGAAGAAGAGCGGCAGCGCGATGCTGGCGGACAGCAGCGGCTGCCAGGCCGGGAGGCGCTGCTGCGTGAACGCGGTGTTGTCGGGCTGGTGGGCGCCCCGGGCCGTGGCGCTCCAGGTCATGGCGGCCGCGCCGGGACGGACGCACGGACGGACGGAGGGTTGCCTCGGGCCAGCCGCGGGGCGCCTCCCTCTCCGCGCTGGGCGAGCCCGGGGGCTGCTCCCAGGCCGGGTTTCCCTCTGGCTCAGGTGAGTTTTCGCGCTGGCCCCGCCTCAGCCTCCCACACAGGTGAGTCTCAGTTCCAGGTTCTACGTGCAGTGACCAGACCCCTGAGTTCCGCCTCGGCCCAGGTGATCCGGGCCGACCCCGCCCCTGCGGTGGCCGGCAGCCGCCCCGCGCCCCGCCCCGTCCGAGGTGAGCCGTGCGAGTGTGCGTTGCCGCACCTGGCGGGCTCCAGCTGCGTTTCTTCCCTGTCCGGGTCTGTCGGACGCCAGCTCCTCCTCCCCCAGGTAAGTGGCAGCCTGACGCCGCCTCTGAGTGGCTCATACCTTTTTCAGGTACCACCTTCCCTTCCGCCTTTCCAGTGACTAGAGTGCCTGGGCCATTCTTTCCCGAGATAATAGGCGCTGCAGCCTCCAGCAGAAACCCGCTGAGGGCTTGCACCTTGGTCCTAGAAGCTTGGAGATTTCAGGTTATTAATCCTCCTTTTTTGGAGTGGGAGGGGGAAAGATGACTCTAGACCCTTTTGCCTTTGTAGATTAATTTATGGACCCTTTTTCACCGAGCTTTCAGCCTGAAACTGTAGTGCCTATGGAGTTAAGCTATGATAAATCTTTTGGAATTCAATTGTAACAATCAAATTTTAGTGTTTTTTTTTTAAAGGGAAAACGATATATATATATATATATATATATATATATATATATATATATATATTTTTTTTTTTTTTTGGCCAGATCCCCCAGTCTGGCTGTATAACTAAGAAAGGCGGAAAGTTCTCTAAAAATAAAATGACCCTTAAAGGGAATCGAAGACTGGAGAGGTTCAGAGCCTTTATATATCTCTCTAGCTGGTGGAGAAACTAGGAAAGGAGAAAAATCCATGGGACTACATATGATTTCTTTTTCTTTTCAGATATTTGCCCCACTGGAGAAAGGCTTGATCCAAAGTCCCAGGAGACCTAGCTGCTATCCACAAAGACATTTGGATGTTTGGCCTGAGGAGGTGAACTATAATGATTTATAGGACTTACTGTAAAAAGAACTCAAATTAGCCCTGAACATTGCCTGGGTTTCTGGCTTTTGTATCTAGGCTGGTTCAGAATACACAAGGGAGCATTGGAACATCTTGACTTTGTGCTAAATCTTCCTCAGGTATTGAGATGTTCTTGCTTCTCCAGCATATAAAATGCAGGTAATTTAAATGTTTTCTCTATTACACTTTTGCACTCAGCATGATACATTGCATTCAGGAATTATTCAAAACCCATCGAAACTTGGAAAGTTAAAATGCTCATTAAATTGAACAACAGGGATTTTTTTTATCATCTTCCAAGTGTTCGGCCCTATGTTAATATGACCAAAAAGGACCCTTGACCTCAAGGCATTTGCAGTTTGATAAGGAGCATATTACTTAGGAGTAAGAAATAATCAAAATAGCCGATAGATAGCATGTAATCAAGTACCAAATTGTGCTCTACAGGAGCCACACTAAAATTAAAAAGTAATATTATTTTAATAATGGAAAATTGATTCCATTTTGTTGAATGAATGCAGGTTGGAAGCTTTAGCTCTTAGAGAATACTGAGCGACCGAAGTGACTTGCGTTCACTTCCCTCACTTCTTATGCCACGAGAGAGGAAATTCCAACATTCTCAACAAGTTCCTATAGTGTGATCCATTCTCCACTCACCTTTTTTTCAATAAGATAAAAAGAATAAATAGTTCTTTGTGGTGTTGTGGCTAAGTTCCACCCTCCTCTCTATCATGGAATTATCAGTCTGCTTGATATGGAGTTCACAAAACAAGTGTCTAAGACGGAATTCAGTTCTCCCCACTTTAACTAGTAGATCTTAAGTCTAACCATGCATCACCACCACACCCCTAAAAGCACAGGCTCTCCTTGAACTCAGAGCCTTTCCTCCTTGTCTGCTCTCCCTGGATGACCTAAAAGTATTAGTTTATTTATTCTGCTAATTAAGGTAACAGAGTCCCAAAGGTAAAAAGAGGAGAATATTTCAAGACAGGGAATGATGAACAGGGTTAACCACACAGCTCAGAGTTCAAGGGAGATAAGAAATGAAAAGGAGCCATTGGGTTTGACTTCCATGGGAACATTTGGGTGGTGGGGTGGAAGGAGGCAGGCAGGAGGAGGCAGGTGCAGGGCAAGGGGAGTAAAGCCAAGGTAGGAAGACTCTTAAGAATTGTGTGGGAAGGGGAGGAGAAAGGCAAGTGGTGATTGTCTAGAAGAGCATATGTCCTAAAGGAAAGGCTTCTTCATAGGTGGCAGAGAAGTGTTTATTCTGAGGGAAGAGATACAGTGCACCTGAGGCTGGAGAGAGGGCTGGCAAGCTCACAGGTGTACCTTACAAAGGCAGGAGCAGGCGGGAGGCACTGATCCACCCGCTGGATCAACTGGTTCCAGAGAACAGGTTCAGGGTTATCTCACCTTCAAAACTGGAGGGCAGGGAATAAGGATGGATGCAGAATGCAGCTGGGCTTTGGGCTGCTGAACCTCAGGCCAGGAGAAGGCAAATGACTGCGTGTGCCTGGCGTATGGGGGTTTTCAGGGCAGGTGAAGTAGAAAGATAAAGGTTTGAGCTATTTCACTCCTTGTAGATGGGGTGGCTAAAGTGGTGAGCCTTAGTATTTAACAGAATGGCAAAGAAAGTGAAACTGAGCCCGTGTGTTTGAAGAAAAGGAAGGGACCCGTACACCGTCAGTCCTAATGAGGTTACAGGCAGGTGACATGAAAGCTGGGAGGAGGAAGCACTGGTTTGAAATGGGATGTTAAAGATTTTGGAGGTGAGCAGCACCAAGATCCAAGTATATGTCATATTTCCTACCAACTTGTAGGTTCTGAAAGGTGGAAAACTGACATACATCCTTGTGTACCTCAGAGTTCATTGTATAACCATGTCTTTCATTTTATTATACATGTTATCATGATGTTTTAAAGGACATGTAGGTCATGTAAATTTTTCAGTACTGATAAAGTAAAAAAAAAAAAGGATTCACTCTAAACAATTCTTTATTCCATCGTCGTTATTAAGAGAACTCAAAGGAAAAGAAAAAGGCATTTCTAACCTAAATACTCCTAAATCACTTTATTTTTCTATTTTATCTTCTAAATTTTATCCATATAAATATTTAATTTTTAATTGGTTGTAATTATAAAAATACAATTGTTATCACTCTACTTATCAAATTTCCTCCTTTTGAAATGAAATGAAGAATGAAATATTTTCCATGTTCCTTTGTGTTCTTCATAATTTTTTAATGGTTCCATAATACTTGGGTCTATAATAGTTGACTCCTCTCCTGTTGTTGGATATGTAAATTATTTCCGATTTTTCAGTATTCCAAAGAATATAATAGTGGATATCTTTTCATGTATAATCTTTCTTTAATTTTTTTCCTTAGGATAAATTTCTAAAAGTAGGAAAGGGTCTTAAAAGTCAAACTCTTCAAAGATACATATGGCTAGAGTCTTTTACACTGCCACAACAATGTATTAATATATACTTTGCTACTTTCACCAAAATCTTTCCAACAAAATCAGTTGCTGACCATAGAATAGAGTTAGTTTATGCTGATAAACTGCCAGATATTAGGAGACTTGTATAGGATAGGAGAAAGAATGCTGGCCTGACATTAAGGAAGTCTAAATTCTACTCTAAAATTCACCAGGAAATAACTGCGCAACCTTGGTCAAATCACTTAACTTCTCTGGTCTCATGATTGCTTATCTGTATGGGTATGTTTGTCAAAATGATAGTTTCTCTTTCAAAGCAAAGATTTCTGTTCCTAGTCATCTCAATGGTCTTCCTTACAATTATTCATTAAATAAATAGCATTTCTGTAGGTCGATCATTCTGTAAACCCTTTTTTATATATTGTCTAATTCACACCACAAACAGAGGCAGTGGGTACAATTATCATACCCAGTGAATTGGTGGAGAACTAAGAGTCAGGCTAATGTGATGAAGGCTGCCCAAATTCTCATAGTGGTAGCCAGGAGATGAGGCATTCAAAGCTCAGCTTAACCCTAGCATCCTGCATTTTCAGCCACTACACTGTAATGTCTTGGCATACTTCCTCCTAAAAGAACTCAAAAGGCTTCAGCCTTAAACCAGTCTTTAGTGTTTCGGGTTTCTCTTATACCCCAAAGATAAGAGAATTCTGTATTGTTTATACGAAGAGTCCCGGAACATCTGAGTTTCCTTTATTTTTGTTTTTACAAAAGCTTTTGTTTTAAAGCAAACTTTTGTTTGGCATGCCTATTTCTCTTGCTAAAGTAAAAATAACTTCACTTGTCTGGCTATACTCAGTTTTTGCATTTATTTCATTTAATTCATGACTATTTATCTTACTGTAACAGAGCCTGGGTTTTTAATTGGCATTCCCTTACATAGGTTTATACTGCTCAAGATTGTTGCCTATTACTCTGCCCATGGGGCAGGTTTTATTTAAAAAGAATCAAATTAAATTGCTTCATAAAATTACAGCATGTGTTCAGAAAAGTTTTTAAAAATTCAGTGTGCCTGGACTTCATTTTTCATTAAAAACTGCATTCAACAGACTTCCTGTTTCAAAAGTTATGGGGTGGTACCCCCTAGTGGAAGATGCAGAGAAACTTCGGTTAACTAGCCCTGTAAACACTGGAGGTACAAAAGACGGACGCAAATTCTCTCCACTCCTTGCTGCAGCGTGTTGGTTCCTTGTCACTAACTTACTGCAATACAGTGGAAGTCATTTGAGAGTGAACTGTGTGCAGAGTTGGGTGGGTTGAGCTGCAGGGGGCAGTATCCGATGGCAAATGGGACTGGGACGGATGACAATAGGTCTTAAATGGTGGAGGTGTTGGGTATGGGCTGGCCAGGTTAAAGACGGGATAAACCAGCAAGGATGGGATTAGACTTGAACTGCGTGGACGGAGTTTGGCTGCAGGGGTGGCACTTGGTAAGAGAGAGACCCCAAAGAGGGAAGGACAAGTTGGGTGACAGAACTGAGACAGAGGGGAAGGAAGAGCTGTGGAACTTGAAAGAAGAAAGGGAGTTGAGTCAAAACTGAATTAGACTGTCCAGCAGGGCAGGTGAGGGGGTGCTTTACAGGCAGGGTGAGAACCGGAAGAGGGAAGGGGACACCAAGACTGAGTGTCTGTGGA